GCAATTTGACGTTGCTGCTAACGGACGAACGCATTGCTATTCATTCAGGTTATGAACTCGGCGAGAGCATTAATTAGTCGCGTCGTGAATGCAATGATTTCGACGAAAACAACGTTCGAAAAATCGACGCTCTGCGAGGTATTGTTTCTCTATGCTTGACATCAACAGGTCGTTGTTGTGTGACTTTAGGCGGAAAAAATGAATGCACTCTCCGCCTCCCCGTATGCAGGCAGCAGAGTTCGACCGATAACCGACGGATATATTTATAGAATTTGTCATATCTTGCAACAGCTAATTACACGAAAACGCATGATATAACAGATAACAAACAACAAAACAACAATAACAACAGAAAAAACTTAACGATTCTCTAATTTCGATACATTTTACTGTGGAAATTAACAATTTTACTGTATCTCAAATTGCTATAATACTAAAAAATCTCATATATAATACGCAAAATATATATATATATACATTAAAAAACTACGCATTTAAACTACTAATAATGTGCGCATTATACACAAGTTTTTATTAAATAAGCCGAAAAGCAATACGATCATAACATTGTGCAGGATAAAGAAAGTCAATTAGATATTTTTTTAATCTCGTATATAATTACTATAATATTTAAAATCTCATGTATAATACGCAAAAATAATTATTATAAAAAAAATAAGTATTTTTTATGCAAAACTCATAATATAACAGAAAGTAACAATAAAACGGTAACAATACGCACTTAAATTACTAAAAATGCGTATTATATATACATGTATACATTTTGCGGGACAAAGTAAGACAATTAGACTTTTTTGATAATACGTACTTGTAATTGGAAAAAAATATTGTTTCGATTTTCCAATTTATATAAATTTAACGCTACAAATTGATACAATTATTTTTTTATATTTTCATCACATATAATTATTATGCCATTAACAGACATTACGAAAATAAATTATATAAGTATGTTAAAACAAAAAAAATATGTCAAAAACATATGTATTTCATTCATTTCTCTTTAACCATTAAAATAAAGTTATGTTATGACATAGTGAGTAATATGTAAATAAATTAGTTTTAAGTTATTTTTCTAATGTTCTAATTACGAATGATACTATATTTATATTATGATTATGATTTATAAATAGAAAAGTCTAAGTCTTCCGGCCTATACAATATTGTTGAAAGTCACCAACGATAATATTGTTATCACTGAACGTTACATAACAGACCGCACCGATACTGCGATAAGTGCTATTAATGTATTGAGTGATCATAATTTAATGAAAACGAATTGTTTGTACAAAAATATATATCAAATTTAACCAATAAATAAAAATTCCTTCTACTTATTTTGCATCCTCATTCATAATATGTGTAAGAGACAAGAAAAAACAACCATTCTTTTCCAATATCAATTATTAGTAAATCCAATGAAAATGCACCAAAAACAATACGATTTTCTTAATTATCTAATTTATTTAATAAATTTGATAATCCAATTACGTAAATTTGTTGGACAAGAAAAAAATACCATTGTTTTTTTTGCAATGTCAATTTTCTTTGTAATTATTAATTAGTAAGTCAATGCACAAAACAATGCGATTTTCTTAATTATCTAATTTATTTAATAAATTTGATGATACACGTAATGTTGCGTCATACATATTCATAATTTGTATACGAGACAAGAAAAAAATACATTTTTTTTTTAAGTATGCGATTTTCTGAATTATCTAATTTATTTAATGAATTTAATACAATTACGTAATATTGTGTAATATAGCAGACAAATAAAATTGAATGAATTTTAGAAAAAAAAATTGCAAAAGAAATTTGATTGATTGTACGTAATTTATTCCATCTGTGTTATAATTGTTTATAATGAAATAATAATCATTATGTTACAATTATCAATCTTTTTGTGTAACAATGAATAGCGGTGGTAAAAACAAACGAAAAATGTATAACAATGAAATTTTGATTTCAGAATAGTCCAATTATGATACAGTTATTATCGGATAGAGGAAATATCTTGCCTACGTAATTGCATTCCAATCAATTTATGATTATTATTCATTTATCGGTGGCGATAGTGTGCAAATATGATACGATTCAGACTTTACACCGAATAATAATATCCCTTTGTGTTGTTTATTATACTATTTTATATTGATTTAATCATAGCATTTCGTGACATTTATATTTTACGATCGTTTTTTATTGCTAATTATTTTTCAGTTTGAACTTATACAATAAATAATTGCATTCAAATTGTCTCTGGGAAATCAATTAAAAGAAAATATTTTCACGTATTATTATACAAACAAAATTAATTTATTTTTTTTAAGTAAAGAATTTTCATGCATATTATTTTTTCAGTTTGAAGTTATTCAATAAAGAATGTATTTTTTTTAATTTTCATGTATATTAATTTAAATAAAATTTAATTAAATATAAATTTTAATTAAAATTCAATTTCAATAACAACTGTTATAAAATGTTATCATTTATTTGTTATGAAAACATTATTTCGAACATTATATATCAGCTCAGCAACAATATAACAACAATTCCTTTACATAATATTTGTTCAATATTGTTTTTGTATTGCAGTTTTTAATTTATTTCCAAGTTAAAATAACTTGTATACAATAAGTATAATGTCCATACATTTATATTGTGAATTCTATAATTAAAGAAATTATTTTCTTTTTTATACAAGTTTTATAGATAAACTGTCTAAAACGTATATATTTTTTTATAATGAAATTACCTTAGTTGTTTGTGTTTTTATGTAATTTTAATCATTTAATAAACACATGCTTTTTGATGATTTTAATAAGTTTGTAAAATTAATGATGAATTTGTAATTTATAAAAGATATAAAAGATAGAACTAGCAGATATTATTATGTAATGAGATACAGGTCATCATACAAAACATTTGAACATGGGAGTAATTATAAAGTTTTAATAATTTTGTAATTCGCTGAAGTTTTAAAATAAATACATTGCGTGAAATGAGACGTAGTTTATATGAATTTGGTATTTTTATTTGGTATAATTTTTAATTGGATTTTTTTATTATAATATGTCTTTAATTGGATTTTTTTAATGATTAACAGAAATAAATTTAACTATTTTAAATAAGGCTTAGTTTAATAAATATATCATAATTCTTTGTAATACTTTGTAAATCTATGTATAATTATTAATTAAATTAATTATGTTAATCGCAAAGAATATTGTGGTTTGTAGTTGAATCAATTTGGATTAATGTCAAATCTTGATTCTTTTTTTTAAATTTTTTAGTAAAATTTTCAATACGTTTAAATTTGTAATAATTATTTAAAAAAAAAATTACTTAAAATATGTAAAAATATGAACATTTATTCTATTGAAATACTGTTATGAACTAATTATAATTTTAATTAAAGAAATACAAAAAAAAAATAACGTTTAATGAAAATGAAAAAAAAAATAATGTTTTTATATTTCAATTATGTAATTTTTTAATTATAAAATTTTGAATATTCGCAAAATTTTACAGTTTTACAGTTATGGAAATTTTTGATAATTAATAAGAATTAAAGATTCTTTAATTAATATTTATCATAGAATAAAGTTTTCTTTTAATATGAAGTATGTAAACTGTTGATGTACATTATTAATTATAAAATTTTGTTTGAACTAAAAATAAAATTGAGCGTAATTAATGAGAATATGGAAGTAATTTAGACACTGGCGTTTCAGTTTTATAAATAAATTCATTAACTTTTTTTTAATTTTGAAAATTAATAAGAATTGAATATTATATAATTAATATTTATTAGAAGGTAAAGAATGAAAACTGTTAATGTATATTAATTATAAAATTTTGAAGTTGAAATAAAAAAAAAATAATTTTACAGGTTAATGAGAATGAGAATATGGAAGTAGTTTAGACACGGGCAAAAGCGTGGAATGATGAAGAAGAAGAAGTTTGGGTGTGAAACGAGGCGCTCAGTGTCAGGGTCGCCGTGGAAGGAGTTCTTTAATGGCCGAAGAAAGAGGTGATTAGTGATAGTAAAATTGTGGACTTTCATAGCGCTTTCTCCTGCGCAAAAAAAAAGTAGGTTTTTATGGAAAACCAGTGAACGTAGCGAACGTCGTAGAAAGAGACAGAATTGGAGGTGGCGGCGGCGGCGGTATCGTTTATTTTCGCGGCAGCAGCAGCATCCAAGTTGAATCACCTTCGGAGCAAACAATTTGGTGATGCATGTTTTTTTCCCGCGATTTGGGATACACGCACGTACGGACAACCCTGAACTTTTATGCAGTAAATATGTTTTCGTTACGAAACCGCACCGAAGTCCCCTAACCTAAGTCAATCTAATCTCTTGGTGCGCCGTGCAGCGTACATATGTGTATGACATTGGCGGCGACCGCCTCTTCCCACTCGTATAAATTTTCATGTAATAAATTTGCTAAAACAATGCGATGGTCAGTAACCCAATGCTTTGTACGTGAATGAACTTGCGATCGATATGTCTGGGACATATTTAATTTGCAGCCGCTGCTTGCCGCGTCCGTGCCGAAAAGTTTTCGGTGAGCGTGTGCCGTCTTCGGTAAGGAATGGCAGGTACATACAGACAGACGCACCAAACCCACGGATACAGCTTGAAACAACAAGCAGCTATATAATTAAATCATTAACTAATATTAATCGTAACGCTTCGAAGACGCTCTTCATGTTAACAGCCTTTTGCATAAGGCTGGAAATGAGCCCGTCGGAGAGGAGCTCCACCGGCGCCGCCACCGATGATCGCAACCCCCAAGCGACGCGAGCGCCCATTACGTAACCCCACGAAGGTGACCTGTCACTGCTCTGATTGGTGACTCACTGAGGGTGTTGTCCTCGTCTCCCCCACCGTCGCGATCCCCACCCTCGCGGCTTCGCGCGACCCGCGAACTCCGTCTATACTACACGCGGATACCGCAGTCGCTATTAAATTTTACTGCGGACGGTAGTGTCGAGTCAGTGCTGATCGTAAACCCGTTCGTCGTTGTTACTTGTGTGATTGTTCCGTACAACATTAACAAAATTATTTTGGGATCTTTCAACTTTACATCAACTCACCCAGTTGGTAGGTAGTTGCCTCGTTATGCGCCAAAACAAATTTATTAATTATTAAATTTATTAATTTTTATCTTTTTAATATTTTAAAACTTTTTTTTTTCCACAATATTTATAAAATTTCCGCGCGCCAAACTTTTCAAAATCAACAAAATCATTTATTTCTTAATACACATTATATATATATATTTGCATTTCTCTTGCGAATTTGTAATTACTTTTTTCCGACTTCTTTCTTCGCGGCATATAATTAGATCGGACTGATTGTATGCAAATTGAATTTAATTGTAACAGCGCTCCAATTCACAAACGCACATGAATAATGTTCGACTTTGCGTGTGCGTCTATTTCAACTTATTCCACTTTTCTTTTATTTTCTTTTTTTTTTCAATTCTTGCACGAAATTTTCCAAATTAATTTGTATCCAATATTAATTTCTTCGCGAATTTGTACTAATTTTGAAAAAATAAATAAACAAAGCATCTCGTTTTGTGGCGGAGAAATTTGAAACAAAATACTGGGTCTCGCCAAAACGCAGAGATGCGCGCTCAAATTATTATTGTTTTTTTTTTAACTTAGTTTTATAAGTTTTATGCTTTAATAGTTAATATAAAAAAAAGCATTAACAAATTCAGATTGTGAAAATTTTTTGAAAAATGTTATTACTTTATTTAGCAACAAAAAATAAAAGCGCATAATAATTGTACGTAATTAAATTACGTGATATTTGAAAAATGTTGCGCAATTAAAACAAAAAAAACTTTTTGCATTTTATTTGGTTTATGATGTAATTGTAAATTTTAGGTAAAATGCGCAAACAAATTTTGAGAAATGTACAAAAAAAAATATGATTTTTATAATTAATATGTTGTGATTTTTCATGAAAAATATTGCGCAAATAAAAATGAAAAACACAAAAATAAATGTTTGATTGTTTTAGCAAAGTTTATTGAAATAAGTTTTTGATTTCATCATATCGATATGTGTATTAAATAATTGTAGTAAATGAATCGAAATGTTGCGCGACGCAAGAAACTGTAGTATTTATTTTGCGTTCAATATAAACGACTTGTTTTGTTTTGATAATTCGCATGCCAATAAAGGTATTTAAATTTAGAACTGGTGCAAGCAAACTCGGTTTTAGAGTTATTGTTTGTACGCTGCGTCTCGTAAATACGATGCAGGGGGGTGTTGGATAGTTTGCGAAACTTATGAATTGCGATGTCTGTGTAATAGGATTGGATTGGATTATGTAATCGTTCGCATCTTCGATTTTACATCGGGTCTTGGAAGGACGGTGGCCAGGTGAAACCTCCTAATGAATACGGTACATGCGAAATAAAATGAAACACTAAGTAGAGGAACAAAACGACGCGCGCGCGACTTTATTTTAAGAAAGCCCGATTGAATCACGGTTTTGCAATTGCGTTATGTAACAGATAAGCGGCGTGCGGTGAGCGCGCGCTATTGCGAGAGGACGAGAGAGACTGGGATTGTGTGTGAGAAGGAGACGGATGCAGAGGACGGGATGCGAGTGAGAGAGAGATGGAGATGGATGGATGGATGGATAGAGCGCATTGTAGGGCATTCTTGAGTTCTACTAGCCTAGTTCTAGTCGCGCTGCTTTGCTTCGTTACACTTTTAGAACCATCATCTCTTGTTTTAATTGCATTCCGCGCTGAAACGCGCGGAAAATCCTTCCCTCTGATGGGAACGTAAATGCTGAGTAACCGCGACATATCCCGGTTTCGGCCGTTTTTCGCTGAGAGCAGAGCGTACGTGTGTTCCGCAGAACAAAGAGCGAATAAATATGGGTTGAGTAATTTGAAAAGAATTTGATCTCTCAGAACGTAACCTTTTCGTTCCTCCATTTAACCATTCTTGCGGAACATGGTATATAACACAACGCGCACCGATTATTGCATAACGCCCGGCCGGCCTGTCCTGGCCTGGCTTCAAGACATACGCTTGCTTTGCTTGCTTTCCTGCACTTGGTTGGGCACTTGGGTCCCCTTATCAAATGGGAGCAGATCGTAGGTGTCGGCGTGCTGCCGCTGGGCGCGTTGCGAAATCTCGCCTATTATCTAATTCCGCTGCGGAACGCAACGCAACACAACACGGAGCGCTCCTTCTGTTAACAACGCGCGACGCTCCAAAATATTTATAGAAGCGGTTTCGTAACATTTTTGTTTTGATATATCTGGCGACGTTTGCACACTCCCACGTCACATTTTCCTTTCCTTCCATGTATTCCGTTTTATTTCGGTGCAATTAGGTTTTCCTCGGAGGCCGAAGCGCGGCTCACGATATTTCCCTATTGCGTCATCCGGTACGGCGAAGGCGCTTTTCCGCGTAACTTTCAGCGCGACGCGCGGCAAATCGCGCAATTCAGGCGCGCCGTCATCGGCCGCCGTCGCCGCCACCTCCCGAGTCTTAACTACCCTAAACTCTCCTAAACAATGCCATCATTATATCATAGGACACACGTGGCATTCGGATGCATTGTTCGGCTGATTCACATCCGTTTGCACCGCATTCCAGACGCCGCCGCGGCTCCCCGCGATCGCGATACTCACTTCGCTTCTAGAAACACTTAGGCATTGACCTTTCCAAGGATCTTGTGGTTAGCTCTTAACTTAAATAACTCATTCTTAATTGTGGACATGTAATGTCGGTATGTAGGGTGTTTGATACGAAACTGCATGTCGTAAGTTAAATACAGAACATCAGCAGGTGAATCAAGACGGCCTTGGTTGCAGTTGCTGCAAAAACCTGTCTGCATTTTAAATATATATATATATAGATATATGTCTGTGTGTGTATAAATATAAACTTCTCTTAGTTTATCATGAGGGATTACTAACGTGTGCATTTTGTTTGGTTTTGTTGCAGATGTACTGAAGCAACGTATGATGGTTGCGGAATTAGTTGGCCGTGGGCAAAGTGGGTCTCCAGTAAATGGTGAGCTACCACACCTGAACTCCAGTATGCCAGCAAGTCATAGTCGCGAGGCGATGCTGTCCAACAACTCATCCCCGAATCCAGACAGCTACCAGCAGGGCTACGGGATGAGTCCCCACTCCAAACAGAAGGATATGTTACCACAGAGGAAGCAGCGTGAATTCACGCCGGACAACAAAAAAGATGAGAGCTATTGGGATAGACGCCGCCGGAACAATGAAGCGGCCAAGCGTTCACGGGAGAAGCGTCGCTTCAATGATATGGTGCTGGAACAGAGGGTGGTCGAGTTGACCAGAGAGAACACAATGTTAAAGGCGCAGCTGGAAACCATCAAGGAGGAGTACGGGATCTGCGGCGAGAACCTGGTGTGCGTGGAGAAGGTCCTTGCTACGATCCCATCAAATGATCTCAGCATGCCAGCGAAACGCCAAAAACTAACCAACCAACTGTTCAGTTCTCCAAGTCCTATTCCCACATCTGTGATCCATCAACCCGTTATGGGATCCCCATCCCCACAACCGATCATGCATCCACACCCGCAGAGCAACCTTCATCCTCCCGCATCTCACCACGAGATCCCGTACCGAGAGCACGCGGATTTCCATCCGTACAACTTCCAGCCCTACACTAATGCCATGCTCTACGACAATGGCAGCAACAGCGTGTTGAACCTCTCCAGATCCAGAAGCGGCAGGCAGTCACCGTACGAGATCTCCAGCAACTCTGGTGACGAGGCCGTCCCTTTGGCCCTTACCATTTCGGAGCCAAACAACAGTTTGCCACTGAAGCTGCGCCACAAGATGCACATCGGCGATAAAGACGCCGCCAACACACTTCTTTCTCTGCAGAACATCAAGCAAGAACCGGAGCCGCGGTCCAGTCCACCATGGGACGATCAGGGATCCAGCGATGAGCGCGATTCCGGCATCTCCATGGGGAACGACTGGACCAACGCCAGTGCCGCCGCTGCGACCCTGCAGAATCTCCAGAAGCAAGTGCAGAACCCAGAGGAAGAGAAGCAAGCTACCCTCCACTGTGAACTCGTCCGCCTCACGAAGGAGGTGGCCTACCTAAGGTCCATCATACCACCACATTAGTGATGGATACCATCCCACATATTACATATTATAAAATAAGAATAAAAAATATGTGTTTTAGTGCAGTTGGAACAGTGCTGTTTGTGATTTCGCGCCTACAATATATATTTTATCTCAGATATAATAGACATATCATTATTCCGCTCTTTGTACCGATTGTAGTCATAATCTAAACAGAGGAGCTATTTATTATCTAGATTTTAAGTATTTATTTCGTGTTGAGTTGATCTTTTCTATATATTTGGACGATGAGGAGAAACAAAAAAAAAATGATTTAAATTTATCTTCTTAAGTACATATTAAAGTTAATACATATTAAATGTTAGAAGAAAAAAAATGTCTCAACTTAAGCACAATATTCTATTATCTGTTTTTTTTTACTATTTTAATGGACATGCTTTAATTCATCATTTTTTTGATATTTGCCAATGTATTCCTATAGATATTCTCTATTATTTTTTTTTAACAATAATCTTTAGTTTGATTTTTTTTTGTTTTTTTATATATACTATATATATTATATAATATGTACATGAATCATGAGTGTTTAAGCTTGTGAAATGTAGCTGTAATCTATACCTTTGCTCTTTTAAATGTATCATCACAGGTTCTACCTATGTCATATTGTAAAGAGAAATGTAAAAAAAAAACTGAAGTTCTTAAAGTGTAAAATGAATTTTAACGTACCTATTTATTATTATTATATAGCTGGAGCAAAAAAAATAAAATGTGTGATTTTGTAAACTATTTATCCTAAGATTTGCGTTTATTATTTATGTAATATATAAAATGTATGTATTTTTGTTACACGTCCAATGTTACATTGGCTTCCCCTTACGTTATGAATATATATATGAAAAAAAAATATAAATATCTATATTATATATATATTTATAAGATGATGCTGGACCAATATTACCTCACCCTTAGAAATGAATTAAGACTAAGCGAAATAAACAGAAATTATATGCAATCCCCCTTCTAAGAGACCAAAATCGTATAACTTGTTTCAAATATTATTGTAATTACTTATTATGTCCAGCATGTTATATTGATATGATAATAAAGAAAATATCGATTATATATTTTCATATTACCGTTAAATGTATCCTAACTATTAATATGTATTAAATAAAGATTTGCATCGTTTTTTCATTAAGACAATTGACTTGGACCATCGTTCACCTTCACTCTCTTTCTTCTCCAATTGAACTTTTTCCAAATTGCGCCAATCTCTTTGTTTACTAGGTGGACAATTTTTTTTTATCTCAGGACAAATGTGACCTTACCGATTACTCTTATATTAAGCTATATACTCTCTTTCATAGTGCATGCGCTCCGACCATGACCATGCACAACAACGCATTGCACAATATTTAATTCGAGATTTTAGTATCAACATGGCTTGGGTCGCGTCATGGGTATTTACGACGCCAAACCAGATTTCTGTGCCAGGAGCGCTTCGCAAAAAATAAATAAAAGGTAAACGTAGAGATGGACGAGGAGAAAAGGACATTCGAAAAAAAGACAAACAAAAAAAATATATAAGCGAACACATACACACCGCAACTATTCTGGAAATTCGCATGACTTGCTATACCGAAAAATCTATTTTAAATTTCATCCAAACTTAGAACTCGTACTGAGATTAACCAAAAATCCTTCGTACTAACGCCATCTCTAGTTCAGAGGATCAAGTTGAAGACAGATTCCTGCTAGGTTCCGCTTGTACCAATTCAGAGGACGCGTTACGTGTACTCAATTTTTGATGTAGTCTTCACCAGCTGTTCCTCACGACAATATCATCCTCCCTCGGATGTTCCCCGCTGAAGAGGACCAATTACAATGAGTGGCGATAACAGGAAGATCATCAATCCTTTGCTGAATGTGTCCGTGACTGGAGGGACCATCGAGGAATTCACCCAGAACGCAGTCCTGCTTCCGGTGGTTCCGCCCCCAGTTGCCGCCCCCATCTCAGGTTCGTGATAAGGATTAAGAAATAAAACGCAAGAAAACAAATATAGTGTAGAAAAGTATAATAGACTAATATATAGCATATGCTAGACAATAATTTGAAATAAAAAACGCTCTGTATTTTGATGATTTTTAGTATCTATTTGTGGATGCTGAATTGATTGGACCACGATAGGAGGTAGTTGGCAGATCAACAGATACCTTCTGCTTCCTCCTGCAAACTATCGCGAGGATAATACCCACAATCAGAGCAATTATCAAAAGAACTCCAAAAACTATTGCTGCAATCGCCCACGGGCCAAGGGTCGCCTCTGCGGTAAACAGACAAAAACAAATGTTCATTCATTCATTTCGTTTCATTGAGCAATTACTTACTATAAGCGTCTATAATGTACGTCCTTTTATTGTTACTCCTATCGGTTGCCGTCAGCTGAAGCTGTGACTCGCAGCAGGATGCGCTATAGTAGCCTGTCACTTCCTCGGTCGTCCCTGTGGTAAACCCATTAGGGAAATGAATGTTAGGAGTGAGGAGCATAAGGCCCGACTCTTTATCCTGCGCCGTAATTTCCACACTCCAGGTGGCATCTTCGCAGTTTGCGAGGAGCACGTTCAAACAATTACTTGTGAACTTGTGCCAGATTGTCGGCTTCCTTGTATCTACCACGTGTTTGGCATCCACATTCAAGAGAATCTTCTTAATATACTTTTCTTGTCCGGTCATCGCATAGAATGTCACGAAATCCTGGTAGCTTGAGCCGAAATCATTCCGTGTGAAAATTGTAACGGCAACAACTTTCGTTTGTCGCGGTTGCATCCATGTACTGTAAATTCAAAAATGTATATTAAATGATATGTAAATATTATTTATACCTTAAAGGTTCCATCCATCTGAGCAAGCGCTTGTTGTCTTCGCACTTGAAGTTAACGTAAACCACGTAATTTTGGTTATTGGTGACTTCAAAATATATCTTAACATTCTGGTTAGGTCTTAGCAGGAGGTCTGTCTTCGAATCTATTTCAATCTCGATCGGATGCTTAGGCTGGATGTTGCTATTCAAGTAGGAGAGACGTACGAAATCATTGCCTTGCAGATCCTTGCCATCAACTTTCACGTAGAGAGCTTGTTCAGGAACGGACTTCTCGTCGAAATCGAACTGCTGCTCTTTGATGGTCTCAATTTCGAAAGTTTCTGCAGTCGAGCTGTTTTGATCCAGGACTTTGAGCGCATCTCCCAAGTTATCTATCAGCGAGATGTTGCTGATCTGACCGAAATCGCCCTGCAGATCAAGCTTGACCCTTCTGCGTCGACCTCCTTCAGCTGGAAGTTTATAAATATTACGTGGTATTGTTGTTTGGCTGACGTAAGTGCAATGCGCGCGTGAGATCTCTGTATTTTGTAAACACGCAAGGTCAAGAATTTTTTGATTCAAAATCGCGCAATGCGAAAACATGACGCGTAGTCTCGAATCAAAGTTCATGCGATTAGCGTTTACAATATATTCGTTCGTTAGCTGTTCAGGGCAGAGTTACAGTTTAGCGTCCGATTCAATACGTACCGGTTAGTATTTTTGTACTTAGGGTTAGTTTGGTTTGAATGGATATCGTGAAGTTGTATTTTTGCGCTGGCGCGGGTTCGATCTCTAGACGCCAAGTCCCGACGGTTGGAGTCTGCGTTCCGTGCGCAGTGTCCAGTTTTATATCGAAGGTATCGCCCAACCTGACACCGAAAGATCCTTTCGAAAACTTCCCTATATCATTTGAATCCAACAAGTTGATAAGGTAATCTGAAATCATACATTTTGTATTACAAAGTCCAGAAAGAAATACAGATGAACAACTTACTCCTTGGCGTTACGAAATGCGCCTCAATCACAGCACCAGATATACCTACATGGATTGAAGTAACACTTGTATCAATCGGAACACGCAGCACGCTTTTACCTTGTATGTTTGTTCTGTGAGCCAGGATTGACTAAAACAATAAACTATTGCTCCAATCGTCTCATCTGATAACGATTAACATACCTTTGGCATTGAATCATCACCAGAATAAACATTGCTCAACTTCCTTCCTTCGTAGAAGCCGCCGCCCGATTTCAAAGACGTCTCTTTAATCAACTCTTCAGCGCCGCTCCGACCACCCAACCATACTGTAAAAACCTAAATTTGACTCTACAAAACCATCCCTCTAAGAAACCTCGAAACAAACCTTAATATTTTTATCAGTAATTGCTTTATTAGCTAAAAGCGCTAAATCTTCATCGACGATTTTATCCCTGACAAAGATCAAGACGGCGCCACCATAATTAAGCGCTTTACTTGCTACAATGATACCGAAGAACGCAGATCCACCATCGCTGATGCCACCCAGATAGCTATTATACTTGTTCCTAAACAACCCTTGAAAAGAATCCAAATCCACTTCAGTAGTTTTCGCAAGGATGTCGCTTGTAGCTTGAATGGAAGAACAAATATAAACGCGTGGCTCCGAAAATACGACGCTCTATAATTAACATCATGTCGGACCTAAAATTAGTTACCTGTTGCGTTGAATTTCATCAGCCATAATTCGTTCCTGACATAATTCTTATTCAATATTCCGTCGACGTAGCCTTCAGCCAAATTAGCGACACCATCATCTTCTTGTACCAAAACAACCACTGGACCGGAAACGTATTGCAGTTGCCGTGAAACATCCTCGATAGTTTGATCACTGATCAAGATTCTGGAACTTCTTAAAGCCCCAACGGCTGCGAAAATTGCTAACAAAACTGTTGATTTCAACATTTCAAGCAGAACTAAACTAGATTCACCCAATTTTTAGCCTTTTGTAGATTACGATTTGTCATATTTGTGGGCTTGGAAAGGAAGTTGTACAACGCGATAAGTTTCGGAAAAAAAAATCAAAATACCTGCAATTATAACATTCACAAATTGTTATTTATTACGAGTAAATTTGTTTACTCATAAAGATTAATCGCTGACCTAAAAAAAAAAATAACAGTGTAAATGGAATATAGAAATCTGTTAGGAGTGTTAGTTTGACCTCCCGCTTATCGATTTTAAAACTTATTTTCCAGAATCGACGAGCGCCAGTTACTTCCAACAGCCGACAGATAATAACCAGCAACAGGAAACTAACGTGTTCGACAGCTTCTACCAGCAGGGACAAGAAGTGCCGCAACACCAGGACATCCCGATCAACAATTTTGCGCAACCGAAGCAATCAGTATTTTCATCATTCTCTTCGTACTTACTAGGTCCTAATAACCAGTCAACTTATACTTACGAGCCGCAACCAAATCCTTACGAACAAGCAAACTATCCTCAGACATTTGCAACACAAGGTATACTCAATGAAATACTTACCATCGTGTAATTTAATCGACATCTGCGTTTGCATTTTTAGAGGTCCCATTGATTACGCAGAGTGTACCAATCCATCAAGGTTAGTAAATAAAAGAAAATTGTCACGAACATTGCATAATACGATTCTTCTTTTATGCTGTGCCTTTAGATAATATCCAGCCGGTTCCACTTTTCAAACCTAACGAACCGATTGCGAGCGCTCCAATTTGTCCGCCGCAAGGTAATCAGTATAATTTATTGTTTTGTTAAAATTTCAGTGTATTTTTTTACTTAGGACCAGCAAATACATACAGAAGGGCTACTGGACTGAAGAGGCCAACGTACGCTCCGATACCGGGGCTCTCAAACCAACCGTCGAGTAGTTTACCTCCGTCGGCACCGACCCTCAATTATCTCCCAACAGAACCAACAAGCTTCACGCCAAATGTGAACGCTAATGTGTCTAGTGCCATTCTGAATCCAATTCCACCTACTTCACATTCCATTCTTACACCAATTATGAGTACGATGGCAGCTAACAAAGCCTCCTCGTCGCTCAGAGAGCATATGATAACACAAACCGACAATCTGACGGATGAGCAGGTTGTCACATACAGACCCGTATACAACCATTGGTTTTACAAAAAACAAAATGAAACTGATGTATCTTGGACTCCATTTTCAATGATGGATTCCATGAACTTGGAAGAAGCATATTTATCAAGTAAAGTATAGCTTGTCATTGACCGATCAATAATTACATGGTTGGTTCTTACAGGTGATTTAAGCCCAGATAAAGTTGTTGCTACGGACGGTGGAAGGTATGACGTTAATATTCTACGTAGAGAAAGGAATTCGATTTATTGGAAGAGTCCAGCCAGCGAGGTGCGTAGGTGCTCCTGGTTTCACAAAGGTAGCTCTGATGGTCGTTACGTACCTTACGATGAAAACATAGCTACAAAATTAGAAGGCGAATTCAAGATAGCCTTTGAATCGAACACTTGGAATAGGAAAGTTGAACTTGAAACCGGTGAAAACATAATATTCCACAGTCAAGATGTTTTGGTTCTTTTTCCGCCACTCCAATCCCCAGACGCTTGGGGAAACACACCTGTAATAGAAATATTAATGAATTTAATGAAAAGTATTAACGAGGAAATTTTAGAATCATCCGAGACCTAGAGTTGTCAAACGAGGAATGGATGAGTTTCACATCGAAGAAGGTGAACCAGCCAAAGTGGATCATTTATTGTTTTTGGTGCACGGTATTGGATCAGTTTGTGATTTGAAATTCAGGACTGTAGAAGAAGTTGGTAAGTTTGAATTATCCAACTAAATTAAGTGGATCATTAATATGTCGCTTTTAGTTGACGAATTCCGTTCTGTATCGCTTCAATTAGTCCAGTCCCATTATCGCTCCTCCTGCGAAACTGGTATAGCAAATCGTGTGGAGGTTCTGCCGATTAGTTGGCATGAGAAGTTACACTCGGAAGACACCGGAGTTGATAAGAAGCTAAAAGGCATCACCTTGGAGAGCATTCCAAGATTACGTCACTTTGCGAATGACACAATTCTAGATGTACTTTTCTACACGAGCCCAGTGTATTGCCAAACTATCATTTCAAGTGTAGCGAATGAAATGAATCGAATCTACGACTTATTTAAACAGAGGAATCCGGAGTTCCAAGGCGGAATTTCTTTAGGTGGTCACAGTTTAGGTTCACTCATTCTCTTCGACATCCTTTGCCATCAGCATCAGGAAACTGAACCCGAGAAAACGCCGGAAAAAGAGGAGGCTTCGAATTCGACAGAGGAAGATGTCGTCTCGCCTTTGAAACCACATCCGAAACAGAGGAGAATGAGTCGCAGGATCAGTTACATGATGGGTGAAATGGGTACCGGTCAGCCGCAACTGAATTACCCGCACTTGAACTTCAATCCACGCCACTTCTTCGCCTTGGGTTCACCTATTGGTATGTTCGTGACGGTCCGAGGTTTGGATACCTTGGGTGAACATTTTTCATTACCGACTTGCCCATCGTTCTTCAACATTTTCCATCCTTACGATCCTGTCGCTTACCGAATCGAATCGTTGGTCAACCCGGAACTCGCTGAATTGAAGCCAGTATTGATTCCGCATCACAAGGGTCGTAAACGCATGCACTTGGAATTCAAGGAGACTATGGCGAGAGTAGGTGCCGACTTGAAGCAACGACTTGTTGATTCCATGAAGAATACTTGGAATTCCGTCTACCAGTTTACTCTGTTCAAAAGTCAAACGAACGCACCCAATTTGGAAGAAGAAGTCGATAAGGTTTTGGAGGAACAACTGCAGCAGACGACGCTGAATCCTACAGTAGAGGTTGTTGAAAATGAACCAACAGATCTATCATTAGGGATTTTGAATCAAGGTAAAAGAATCGATTATGTGCTACAGGAGGCTCCGCTCGAATTCTTCAATGAGTATATCTTCGCTTTAACAAGCCACGTTTGTTATTGGTACGTTTTAACAATAATAATAATTATTATTTAATGAATCGAAATTATTTAGGGAATCCGAGGATACCATGCTATTAATCTTGAAGGAAATCTACAACTCCATGAATATTTCCACTGACAGTCAAATTCCACAACAGACTATGACCATTGAAAGACCGCCGTCTTCGCCTAGGTCAGGCAGATCAGCAGAGGATGCGCAACTGACCTTAGGCGTTGATCCTACGATGCCGATGATGGGCGAAAGGAGCAATTTAGGACCTCCGCCCACCGCCGGCTTCGTTAGGAAGACATAGTATTTTATGGTCGCATGGGTGTGCAGACCATTAGCAGAAAGATACGCTCCGTCTCTTTTAAGGATCCTCCGTGAAAGCAACACGTCGAGGTGGAGGTTTTACAACTAAAAATACGCTAATTTAAAATAATTGGCTGTGACAACATATTGATTTTTTGTTTTGTTTATGTTTCTGCTAGATGTATTTTATTATACTTTCTTGTTTTAAATAAATATATTTATTTTGCTAATAATGTTTCTCTGAAAATAAGTAAATATGAAACTATCATCTACTATCATGGGTGTAGATAGTGGGATTACAATGTTGTTTTCATTGATGAATAATGTGTTTTCAAATAATGTGGTAGCATAAACTGATTATACAACTGGTATATAAAATTGTATATAGGGGAGTATTGTACATCTGTTTACCTGAGTTGTTTGTAAAACCGGTAGGAAGTGGGAATTTTATCTTAAGTGGGGAATGGTTTTTGAATGGTAGTTGTTTTGGCGGCAACCTGAGCAGTAGGTACCAATGCTCCTTTTGGTTCCATCGTGTTGGTACCAGTTGATACAAGCTTTTGTAACCGAATGTATACGCTAGCGGGTGGAGTCGTTGTGTTTGTGAGATCAACAAGTGTCAAAAATAGAGGAAAAAGTGCGTGTTTTGGATCCTAGCTTAGCAGAAACATGGGTTGTGCTGTGAGTACAACAGGTGATAAAGAGGCATCCGAAAGATCCAAGAAGATCGACAGAGATCTAAGGGCTGATGGAGAACGTGCGGCCAGCGAAGTCAAGCTTCTTCTTCTCGGTAAGTGACTCACATTTCGGCGCCGCTTAAGAAACGAACGGCAACGAGGACCAAGAAGAACGTCTGCGGTGGCGGCGGCAAAAATTGCACATTCCTCTGCAATAACGCCACAGCCACAAGACATGAATAGCATAATGCATGCACTCTTTCTCATTGAGACTTGAAGGCTTGGAGTACACAATTGGCTGTCTGGCATTCCAATACCATAAGTCATTAAATTGCAATAACAATATCAAAATATTTACGATTACTCACACGCGAAATATCTGATCTTGATTTTAGGAGCTGGGGAGTCAGGCAAAAGCACCATAGTGAAACAGATGAAAATTATCCATGAAACTGGATATTCAAATGAGGAGTGCGAACAGTATAGGCCTGTAGTTTATAGCAACACAATCCAAAGCCTTATGGCTATCATCCAAGCCATGGGACAGCTTAAAATTGACTTTGCTGATTCCAATAGAACAGTAATATACAACAAAGAAAACAATACATAACTTAATTATTTATTATTTTTTTTCTTAATTTTAGAACATGGCTAGACAATTTTTCACATATGCTGGAGCAGCTGAACAGGGTGAGCTCACCCCAGAAGTTGTCACCTTGATGAAAAAGCTATGGAAGGACTCTGGTGTGCAGCTATGCTTCTCACGTTCTAGAGAATATCAGCTTAATGACTCAGCAGCCTACTATTTGAATGCATTAGATCGTATTTCCCAGCCAAATTACATTCCATCCCAGCAAGATGTTTTGAGGACTCGAGTTAAGACAACTGGCATTGTAGAGACACACTTCTCATTCAAAGGATTAAACTTCAAGTAGATGACAATGACATCATGTAAATGCAGATATATTAAATTTATTGTTTGTTTCAGAATGTTTGATGTTGGTGGTCAAAGATCAGAGAGGAAAAAGTGGATACACTGCTTCGAAGGGGTCACTGCAATTATATTCTGCGTCGCTTTATCTGGTGCGCTCTTAAAAGATTAGGCTTAATGAGTAACTAATTGTGTGCTATTCATGTTTGTAGGCTATGACTTAGTACTGGCTGAAGATGAGGAGATGAATAGGATGGTGGAATCCATGAAACTGTTCGACTCGATTTGCAATAGTAAATGGTTTGTTTCCACTTCGATTATTTTGTTTTTGAACAAAATGGACTTGTTCGAAGAGAAGATCACCAGGAGTCCGCTCACGATCTGCTTCCCGGAGTACACGGGCGCCAATACATTCCCAGAGGCATCGAACTACATCAAGGCGAAGTTCGAGAACTTGAACAAGCGCAAGGACCAAAAAGAAATCTACACGCACTTCACCTGCGCCACCGACACAAGTAATATCCAATTTGTATTCGACGCTGTCACCGACGTTATCATCAAAAACAACTTGAAGGACTGCGGCCTCTTAATGTAGACGATCTCTACAAATTATTATTATATATATATTTTTTTTTTGTTTTAATCCTCTTTACATCTTTCATCAATTATGTTTTTAAAACATTGTAAACGAAATATTCCGCGAAACGTGTGCCTTTATTATTACTACTACTACTACTATTATTCATTTTTGTGCCTTGGATCAAATGCCTTTTTTTATATATACATATATATTATATTGTGGGTCTTTTTGCCCGATCAACTAACAATGTACTTCCAAAAATGACCAAATATTGCCATACGAAAGGGAAATTGAAGAAAAATGAAGAAAAAAAAAAGAACTGAGAGAAAGAAATGAAACAATTCAAACAGTATTGAAACAAAGAACAAGAGAACGAAAAGAGATGAAGAAAGAAAGAAAAAAAACATGAAACGAAACATTATTGATTGTGTACTGTAAATTATTTATTAGCTTAAGTGATGGAAGGACGCTTTCGTTGTCTTCCACTTCATATGATGATATTTTAATTGTAACTTCTTTTTGTATTTTTTTTTGATACGCCTTTATTATTATTTTTTTTTATATATACTTTTTTTGTCCATTATGTTTAAAAATCGCCGTCTGGAAGATGTGCTCCTCTGGTTTCTTTTTTTTTTTGATGTGACAGCGCACTTTCCATGCGGCTTATGAAATAAAGTTGAAATAATAAAATAATCTATTTGCTAATTAATTTTAATTTACATAATTAAAACATTAATTCATATAAAAATCATTTATGCATACTTGAATGCATGCATAATGTAAAGCGCATCTATCGATTTTATTCAAGTTTAACGGTTACGTAACGCGTCCCGCCCGCTCGTTTAAATTTAGAAATCCCTTTTGAATTCGCTCGAATCGAGGACAGTCATCACTTAATAAGCTGAAAGCCGCAATTAGCGCTCATGGTTTATGCAAATATTGGATCACATGCATAAGGTCGACGCCGTTTTATGTAACATCATACAGATTTGTAATAAGGCGTGATTCTAGTATTCTACATTTTCCTTCATGCAACTTTGAAGTTCAGTACTACTACTATAGATGGCAGTAGTAGCGAGATATCACTACTTTATTTAAGTTGGAGCTTTCCAGAGGACGCTTAGGTTGATAGTAGCTAAATTCATACAAATTATATAATAACGTTTTTATCATAATTATAAAACAAATAAAGTTATATTAGTATATTCATATTGAAATTTTTGTTTTTTTTTCATGAACATTTTCACTAATTAATCGAAACAAATTTTGTTAAGATATAGGAATTGTATTTTTTTCTAGATATTTATTTTATTTAGTAAGAAATAATTACAGGTTGATCATCAAAGTTCTGGGAACTATATTCTATAAGGAATTAAAGACGTATTCCACATTTTACGTTTAAAATCACATTTAACTAAGCCATAAATATTAATTAAATCATCAAAAAAAAGAATCTATTTTTAGTATTTGATTAAAATTATATATTATGACTGCATTTTTATTAAACTAAAGAACAATTGCTATTAGGTACTTAATTAATTGTAACATGTAACAGATAGCAATTGTAAATGAAATTGGTTCATCCTTACTATGTAAATTTACTAAAATTGTGATGCAAACTCATGTGAAAAAGATATAAATTTTATGATTTTAGTCAAAATGGAAATTATATGTATTATATGTATCAATTTTAGTTTTAGATACGAAAAATTAGTAAGTTTTACTAGGTTAATAGCAAATATTGATATATTGTATAGTTTCTCACAGAAATTCCATCAAAATATACGATTTTTTTTGGAATTTTTCTGTAAGTTTCTAATAGTTTCTATACAAATTATAGAAATGAAATAATGATATATTAAATTCAGCACAAAAAAAACATTATAGATACTCACTAGCATTTTATATTATTAAGATATGAAAAGTTAAGAAGTTTTACTACATTAATAGCAAATATTGATATATTGTATAGTTTCTCACAGAGATTCCGTCAAAATATACTTGAATTTTATATTATTAAGGTATGGAAAGTTGTAAGAGCAAATATTGAGATTCTGACAAATATATTTTTTTTTTGTAATTTTCAGTAAGTTTCTAATAGATCCATTATAATTTATAGAAATTAAATGCTGATATACTCAATTCAGTCAGAAAACATTTCAGACACTCATTGGTATTTTATATTATGAAGATAAGAAATGTCTTCAATTGTTTACTTCAGTATAAGAGTAAAGTTTTCCGTATATATTCTCACACAGGATCTAATATAAATTACTGAAGAATGTTTTAATCGTAACGAAGAGTGTAATAAACATGTATGTCTCATTTTATGCAACTGCTACTGTTGTGTACGAACGGGTTCCAGCATTTCGCTCACCAAGATTAATTAAAAGCATAAAAATAAATATCCGAATGGATTAATTTTTACGAGGTGGAAGAAGTGTGCAGTAGCGACGGCCTTCCGACCATCAGACGAGCCGCGCCGTTACGCAACCGTTCGGAACCGGTAGGTGTTGTAAAAGCTGTAGCAGCAGAAGCAATAGTAGTAGTAGCGGCTTTAAATTGGGGGTCCCCCCAATAAAATAGCTACAAGGGGGCATTACGAGGCGACTAATTTGGTAATGATTTGTTGGCACGATTAGACCCGGGTCTACCGTGACATCTTCACGTCGGAACAGTGATTAGTCATGGCCAAACCGGTGATCGATCAGAAATCTACCTGAGTGCGTGCAAATTGATGGTGGTTTTAAGACCGCAAACTTGGGTTACTCTACTCCCTCCTCACTACTACTACTTTTTTTTTAATGGGCCTTGAATGGGAGATGCTGGATTTAATAACTTGAGGTTACAGTATTATTTCGATCCAGTCAGATCTTCATTAACTATTGCAATTACCATGATTGCATCCTATAATGAGATGAGATCTTCTAAAACTATGTAACCAATTGTTTATAGTATTTATTTGCCAAATAATCGATTCACAAAACAAAATAATCAAAGCTTTCTCATATCTAAATGTTGTTGTAAAATACAATGTGTAAGGTCACATGAGATAGTTATAGCTTTTACTATTTATCGCGACATTAAACAGCGATCGTTCATTACTATTCTATAGATTTTTTCCAAATTGTGACTTCATCACTGGTTGTATTTTAATCTACCTTGTAACATATTTACAAGTACTTGAATCTTTTGATTCTTTTTTTCCTCAAAGCGGGACTAATCTACTAATTAAAAAAAAAAACGCATATTTACTAATATTTTTAAAATAAAAAACATAGTTTGTTTTGTCTTATATTTTACTGAAGAACCAATTTTCTTAAGTAGATTTGGAGTTGATTTTAAATACGAATGAAATTCTTGGCACGATTTCTGAAAATTTACTTTCGTAAGAAACATGGCTTTAGAACTGTTGTCTTCTTTCGCTTGTCCATAACTTTTTTATAAGAGAAAAGACATTTTATGGGTACATTAGTGCTTCTGTATTTTTTAGAATTAATAAATTATTTTTCAATCAATTAATCTTTTTTAATTAGTCTTTCCAAAAAAAACGGGACATTTCGATGTCCCGAAGCTGTGATTGGGGACAACGGGACGGGCTACTTAAAAACGGGATGGTCCCATTCAAAACGGGACGTATAGTTAGTTAGTTTATACAAATACAAAAAAAAAATTATTCTTTATATACCTAAATTGAACAGATCAAATTAATAAATGAAATATTTTTTATTTTATTAAAATTTACTAAATAATATTTTTTTCTTTTAATTTTCTCAAATTTTTCTTAAATATCTATTAAACTGATGCATTTTATCATCTGAAAAAATTAAAAATATACAAAAGTTTGACAAAAAAATATACTTCTTATTTGCTTAATGAATTCATCAAGAAAATTCACCCCTTTTTTTCTCTTTTAATACGATTAGTCGTTGCAGGAAATCAACTGGGTTTTCGAAAGGAAAGTTTAATCGTTTTAAAATTAAGTCGACCCCTTGCACAAATATATACATATATATTTTTTTGTAGCTCTCCCTGTTATACCGGAAACGGTCGCATGGCTCATGTCAGGCGCATCCATTCCACTTCAGATGCAATACTGTTCCTGCTACAAGCTGCACTACAAATCTATAAATACAATTGATCATTCAAAAAGGCCTAACATTAGAATACAGCCTCGCTACAGCTTTGTCATTTATAATATAAACTTATTTAAACGTAGTTCCAAGAACGCAAATCGCAACTGCTTAAAACTACAGTCCACAAAATTTTACAGCTTTTCCGAATATCATCGAAATAACTTGTTATATTACTCTCTGACTACTCTTAGTTTTCATTTTAATTCTATAATATACCAAACGGAACTTGTTATTTTCAAATCATTTACTAAAAAAAATCAATGGGTTAAGTTTCTAATGGTCACAAAATAATTTAAAAGACAGTATAAGAAAAATTATGTAATATTATGTTATATATATATATATATTTCTTGGTACGTGTTACATAATGCGTTTCAAAGATCGATTATTCACCAATAATATGCATCATATACTTTTGGCAGAGAGCAGCTCTCCATAAACTTGTTACATAAAATGCTAAATACATCAATTATTCACTAATCATGTGCATCATAAATTTTTGGCAAAGAGCAAGTTACAAAGAATATTTGCAGCCATTAAAGCCGAGCACGTGTCAAATAGGTAAGTAAATCTTACTATTCTATAGAATATATACAATAGTTGTGTCTAAGAAATGCAAGAATATGATATTCTCTGATGCTGAAGTTTCTTAAACGTACAAAAATCATTCAATTTTGTTTATTATAATTAAAACTATCAACGTAAATGAAATATAAATCGTAAAAACAATAACAAATATAAAAATAAATAATAAAAATTTACTAATAAAATTAATTTTTTTTTATTATAAATCCAAATAATTTTAAAATTTATATATAAAGTATGGGAAATAAAAATGTAAGTCTTCATGAAAATTGTGTTGTCATTTAATAAAAAAAATATATAGGTTAATTGTATTGATTTGGTGTTACATATGCAGGAAGGGTTAAATTTATAGCCCTTCGTGATAGCGTAATAAATACGTTTATTATTGTGCATTAAAAAGCAATATAATATTTATGAATTTCATAAATTTGAAAAAAAAAGTATAATTTTTTTAATTGTATATTGCTAATATTCATTTGATATTGTAATTGTACGTCAATGTGTATTTTATAAGTGTAATTAAAAGAAAAATTATATTCGAAAACCGAGTTATATTAAATTTTAGTTCGAGAACCGAATTGTTCGAGTATTAAAAAAAACTTGTCAATAGACTGTTAATTAAGTTGAATATTTAAATTTACGAACAACTATATACAATTAAGAAATAATCGGAAATTAATGGTTTATAACTTATTTTTATTTCAAATAAAAATTATAATAGAAACACGTTGTTATTTAATTCGTTTATTTCAGTAATTAAAAGATGGTCTTTCGTGTGCAGGAGAATGTACACTGTGTGCTAAATGTCAGGCAATTCTGTTTTGGTTTTAATCATAAAAAATACTTTATAGCCATGTATAAAGTAATGCACGCGGTCGAACCATTAAATAAACGGCTGTAAACTTTAACCTTTACGTTATGTTAATAAGACCACGTGTAATTATAGTTACACTTGTAATAAATAAATAAAATATTTTATGAAAAAAAAAAATCGTGAATCGGACATTACGTAATTTATATAATTAGCGGATGCATAAACTTCGACAAAAAAAACTGTTACAAGTTGAGCGTTAAGATCTATGTGATTTGACGCAAATAATTTGGTGGATTAATTGATCATCTTTGTAATATTACATATAAGATTAAGAAAATAATTGTGTGTATTAATAATTACATTTTCCTGTCTTAATTTTTTAAAAGATTCTTTTACATTTTAAGAATTTTCTATCATAGTTTTAAAGGTTTTTTTTGAATGATTTCATTATTTAATCTAGTAGCGGAGCCGCATGCGGCTCCTTTGATGTGAAATTACGACTCCTAGTATAAACTTCGCTATGGCTATGTTGCATATACATTTCACTATCAAAAATTGCGATTATAGCGCTACGTGCGGCTCCCTGCGTAATATATTTAAAAAAATGGCTCTTTGTTCAAAGAGGTTACCGACCCTTAATTTTGATAAATATATTGTAAGAAACTTATGCATTTATAATTTTAAAAATTAATTTTTCAGTATTTATATCTATTGTCTTAATTTTGATAAAAATACAAGAATCTGGTAAGAAAAAAAACTTGTTTAAATTTGGTTTGATTGTGATGGTGTTAAAGAAAGATACAAGAAGGGTGATTTATTTGCTGATATTAAGGTGAAAGTAAGAATTTGCCGGAGGTTATCGAGGGCGGAGCATCCTGAAATGTTTCAATTGGAAACCGAATAATGCGATAATATCGCGCTCGAGGATGGAACTGGTAAATCGCATATTATCCTTCTTCTTTGAAAAGGGCCCACCCTTCGTTTTATACAATTTCCAATACACAGAGCGGTACGCGCTTATTCAAGGGTGTAAAAAGGTGCTCCAGTTTTCCGGTCGTTGCACGTAAACCAGAAGTCAAATCGGATTTGGGTAAAAACATCCATTGAATGTCAGGAACGTTAATTTTCTCAAACAGCTTATACTTCCAGTTGAGCAATGCCTTTATCTTTATCTCCTTTTCAACACCCTGTAAATAGATTTTATTTTTTTTTTTTTTTCAAATACACAACTTGGACAAGAGCAGATGAAAATTGAAAATACAATATCAGAGTTTTGTAGTTATATTATTGATACAATATTATATTTTTTGTTATTATCATTACGTATTCACAACTTGATTGAACTTTAAGTTTCGAAAATCATGTGCGTCTTATAGTCCGAATGCGTACTATACAACGAATAATCCGGTATAAATACAATTACTATACGTAATATTATTACCACAATCGTGTAAATGTCGTATTTATAATACAGCAATAACTCGCATAGTGCGGTTAAAACCGGACTAATCGAGGAAAGATTTAAAACAAATTAATTTTGTAGAATTTATTTTGAATCCGGACTGATCGAAACCTTACTATCAAAATCCAATACACCGGTTCGTACTACACCAAACTATAATGAATCCGCACTAATTGAAGACGCACTAAATATATATAGAATTATTAATCATGTGCGTCTTATAGTCCGAATGCGTACTATACAACGAATAATCCGGTATAAGTACAATTACTATACGTAATATTATTATCACAATCGTGTAAATGTCGTATTTATAATACAGAAATAACTCGCATAGTGCGGTTAAAACCGGACTAATCGAGGAAAGATTTAAAACCAATTAATTTTGTAGAATTTGTTTTAAATCCGGACTGATCGAAGCCTTACTATCAAAATCCAATACACCGGTTCGTACTACACCGAACTATAATGAATCCGCACTAATTGAAGACGCACTAAATACATATAGAATTATTAATCATGTGCGTCTTATAGTCCTAATGCGTACTATACAACGAATAATCCGGTATAAGTACAATTACTATACGTAATATTATTACCACAATAGTGTAAATGTTGTATTTATAATACAGTAATAACTCGCATAGTGCGGTTAAAATCGTACTAATCGAGGAAAGATTTAAAACCAATTAATTTTGTAGAATTTATTTTGAATCCGGACTGATCGAAACCTTACTATCAAAATCCAATACACCGGTTCGTACTACACCAAACTGTAATAAATCCGCACTAATTGAAGACGCACTAAATACACATAGAATTATTAATATTACTGTTTTTTTTGTGCACCAAAATTCAAAGTGCGTCTTGTACAGTAATGCGGTTTATATACGAATAATATATTATATATTGTGAACGTGATATTAAATACATTTAGTAAATTCTTGTAATTACAGCATTTATGATGTAATTTCTGAGCTGTAATAAATATATTTATTGTGATTTTGTGGATGCATTAAGTAACAATAAGCGAATTTATTGCTCAACCAATTAAGTGTTTAAGAAGAGCACAGTTCAAAGGATTGTGACGAAAAAGGATATTTTGGTGTTAACACCTTTCGGATGACTGGAGGTGGGTCAGTGACCAGCGGTCCTTCTGACCAGATTTATATGTACTATACAAGGATTTACGATTACGCATTTACGATGGGATAATCCTATTCCCTGGATTATGTCTCCTTCAATGATTGTTGACCATTTAATAACAGCTACAATCGATTATTTTATTAACAAATTGCTAATATTTTTTTATATTTATGCCTCAAATTTTGGTTATCGACCAAAGAATTTCTATACAAATCAAAAGTTTATATTTTATTTATCAAATTACTTAATATGTACGTTATTCGAATTGTTTTTGTTAGATAAATGTATAAACAAGTTTTGTTTACTCTTGTTCGCACGAACGTACATTTTGTTTATATTTCCGTATATATTTTAATTTTGTTTCAATCAAACTATGATTTTACTTAATAATAAGAATTTATAAAAGTAAACTTCAAAGAAGAAAGTGACAATTACAAAAGTAAATTAAATCAAACGTATATTCATATATTCTTTATCATTAATGGATTTTTTTTCTTCAAATAAGTGTATGCAATCACATTTTTTATGTACATCTATATAAGTTTGTTCGCACGAACGTACTTGATGTTTATACGAACGTACATAATTCTGAGCAGTTGAATGAAGAAAAGGTATTATTTGTGAGATGCCGCCATCCAGTTAAGGGAGGAAACGCAGATACATTTTTTTTTCCAAGCTTTTTTCCCGTCGGAACGTGTAATTATTTCTGAACTCGCGGTTGGGCTTCAGGTGTTTTCGAATAGCGCCGTAAACTGTTGGATTATTGAATTATAAATGCGATTAATTACGTTATGTGTAAATGCGACCGCTTTACGATTGACAATTACATTCCCGACGGAAATTATTTTAATGGCGCAGCACGAAGATAAATGCCGGACATGCTGAAAAGCTCATATGTATATATGGCTACAATTTTTGTATCCTTTCAGCAAAAAAAAAATATATATAGAAGAACGTCTGGCACATTAATTGCTCAATCAGATTTAATCCCACAACGACAATTCGTAATTTATTTATTGCCTAGTCACAAATCATGCAGAAATAATAAGTATGATTATAAAGTTGCTCAGTAAATAATTATATCAAAATTATGAACATCGGACATATATATAATTTTTCTAATAATTATTACAATTTTTTTTTGCAAAGGTGGACAAATTCTTTTATGTTTGTGAGAAAAATCTTCGTTTTTAATTTTTTCAAATATTTGTTTTATTGATTTTATAACGTATTCCAATAATTCTAATATTCTTAGTTTAGAATATTTTAAATATAATTTCCTGTTTACTTCAGCTGTTATGACAATTATTTTCAGATTCGGGTTGAAGGTTTCTGTCCTAACTGCCTATTGACGCAACCTGAAAACTGTTTTCAAATAATGATTAATAATTAGAATATTAATTGCAACAATTACATAAATAATTACAGACAATTGAAACATTTTGCTTAACTTTTTTTTAAATTTCTAATTTGAAAAAAAAAAGTAAAATTACAGTTTTTTAATTATCAATTGAAGTTATCACAGTTAATACAAATATTGTTCAGTTGTGATAGGAAATAGAATGTATTAGAAATGATAAAATGTATGATAATTTTCTTGTTATCTATCAATTTAGAATTTACAAAATTTTAATAAAATTAAATTCTTATGTAATTTAAAATACCAAAAAAATAATCAAGATGTAAATATTAAAATCAATTGTACAATCAAAAGTTAAAGGTCAAAATTATGAATTGATCAAATTTAATCTCAGAATAAACAAAATGTGTTACTGAAATATGTATTATTATGAATAGAATAAATATTGATTAATGTATGATAATATTTTCTATAATAAAAATGACTAGTAATTTGATTATGTTCTTGTTAAAAAATGATAAAAGTTTAATTTTTACATTAAAATTATTTTTTTTATTGTGAATGAATTTACACTACATTTTGTATTGGCAATTTTTCAATGTTTGACATATAAATATTGAGTTTTAAGGGAGGAATTACTGCGGTCATATATATATTGCTTAATCTATTTTGCTTTAGTTTAATTTTGAATTACGTTAAAATTATGTTAAATTCTTATAAAAAGAAAAAGAAAAATGTAATTTTGAGTTAAGAGAATGTATGAATAGTGTGAATATAAGTATTATTGTATGGTTTTAGTGGTTATACCTGTGCTCAGGTAGCGAATGGTGTTGGTAACGTTGACCATTTTGTTTAAATTAAATGAACCGGTAATTAGGGCCGGATATTTAGAATGTCTCACTCATTGGACGGAAGCGAGGAATATGTTTAGAGGTGTCCACGTGGTGCGCGCGCCAGGGTGGGAACAAGCGTGGTCTCCCTAAGAGAGGGGGCTTCCCCGTCAGTCGCAAGTTGGTGGTTGCAAACGCGAGATCGGAATGTCGTGCGTCGAACAGTAGTAGTACTCCGACATATACTCAATACCCTGAACAATCAGAACGGTCATACTACAATAGCAGAGTCATACTGTCATCAACTGAAACTAAACCGCAAGGAGGATCCAGAAGCATGGACAACTCCACCTACGTTCCAAACCCAGGACATCTGAACTCACCCGCGCTTGTGGTGTTTTCTCAAGCCGCCGGCGGTCTGCAGGATGCTCTCCGCATCCAAAGGCCCTTCAATCCACAGGTGATATACCATTTAAACGAATAATATAATTTTAAAAAAACGCACGTTCGCACTTTCCTTGCAAATGTCGTTTAAGCTCACGGTTTCTAAATCTTTGGCACGGAGCAAGAAATTGAATATCCGCGAGGGTCGTTGACTATGATTTCCTGAGACAACGGCTCCTTGATTAGTACAAAGCTTAAAATGTTGGTGCTTCGGAACCTGGTGCTGAAGTAGGGAAGAGTTCATGTCTGGGTTCAGTTTCAGATGTCGGAGGCGAGCAAGGAGTTGCATAGACCCTACTCGGCGACGGGGTTTGGTCTTCGGCACATGGAGGCATACGGAGGGCTTCCAGCTCATATTCTAAACCATTTGCCGCCGCAGTTCTTGCATCCCGGTCTTTCGCTAGGATCTGGAGCTTTCCGACCTTTGGGAGATCTGAAGACGTTCCCGTCGCCGTCGGCGTTCGCGCCTCCCAAGTGCTTGAAAATTGAGACCGGTAGTGACGTGCACGGCAACCACGGCCACGGCATCTTCTCCCCGTCGGACGAGAGGTTCCTTGGTCCGAGCCCAAGAACCGACTCTTGCTCCCCGGCGAGCGCCTCCATGTCCCCGCAGCCCCAAGGTAACCTAGGAGCCGTCAAGGAAGAGAGTCTCGACGCCCAGATGTCCGAGGATGGCGAAGCACCGCACTCTGCCCAACAGGCAGACAACGACTCCCCCGGCATCCACGAGGACAACAGAGGCTTCCGACGTAAGTTGTTTACATAAACCCAAATAGATCTCGCGTCCAAAGAAAAGAGGAGAAGAGGCCTATCCATGAATGGGATTTATTTGTTCAAGCCTCCCTGTTTATTTCTCGAGTATCGAAATGTCCCAACTGCTCCGCGAAACTAAACAAACAGAAAATTTTAAAACAATTGTTCCTCGTCCGCCTACGGAGTAGCCTGCAGCCACCTGGCTGCAAACTTAGCTCTAGCGTAAACAAATCTCATCTCGACAAAGATGAACAGAAATTTTCGGGAAATTCGTGAAAACCGAAAAACGGTTTTCGAACCGCAACCGCCGTTAAAATCACGCCTGCAATTTCCTATTTGCAGGGGTGTTATGAAATGGGAACGACCCCGCTTAACGTCTGTATTACGTGGACAGTTAAAATCTGTTAGCTGGAGCTTACATCGTGTGAATGTGATGATTTGTTGTTTGCGGCTTCGGGCGTACCGCAAAACTCCAATCGAAATTTCCGAACTTAATTTGTTTCGGCGGCTGCAAAAGTGCGGCTGCGATCTTTTTAATTTCGATTGCCATCAATTTGCGGGTGAGAATGATTCCTCCGGTCCCAACCCCTATACCGCCTCCACCTCCACCTCTTCATCCTCCGCCGCCCCCTCGACGGATTCGCAATTAATTCGAAATGAAAGTAATATATCCTCGGAGGAGGACCGTTAAACCATAAAAATACTTTCGCGCCGGGAATGCAAGCTATTGTTTACCCATACGTCCATAAATTAGCATGTCAACTTGTCCTAATTCAAACCTTTTTATTTCGTTTCCAATTTCCTCGTCCAACATTCGCGCAACGCAAATAAAACGGATGACGTATTTAATCATATTTTTTTCATTAATTCGCATCGGCACATTCGAAATCACATATTTCCTTTGTTGCTATTTTTATATATAATTAATATATACAAACAAGGAATTTTCTACGTAATTTTCAACTAAATCCAATAGCTAATAATTTAATTGAAATATAATATTTTACAATTTTTAAAGTATTTCAAAAAACGCAGTTATTTCATATAGAAGTCCATAAAACGTACTTTAATTCTAACTAAATGTAAAACGATTATTTCGATTTAATTAAACCAATAATTAATTACTACATTAACTGTATAGAAAATTATTAGAAAACATTTATTTGTTGTTTTAAATATTTCTATCTTAATAATACAGATTTATTAATTTGATGCAAAAAAACAAAAGAAAATATGTTGAAATAAATCTAACCAAATTTGATCAAGCTTAAGGGTTATTGGCCTAGACATTTTTTTTTAAATTAACAAATAAATCAATCATCGAAAATAACAATGTTTATTTTTAAAATAATTAATAGTTAAAAACATAATTGCTTTTTTTTACGTAAACAAATTTGGTGGAACAAACAAATTGCATTTCTATAAGTCCATGTTCACTTAATAATCTTCGTCCGTCGGAATAGCTTAAACTTGCATTTTTTTGTATTATATATCATGAAAAATGCGAAATTGAAAATATATATTATACTTAAAAAATGACTTAATTTAGACAATATTTATTGTTTGTATTTTTACTAGATAATATGTAAATAAATACAGTTGTACTTATATAAGAAAACAATTATCTTTTAATGTTTAAACATAAAAAAAATAATAATAAAGTATAATTTATTGTAAATAATTTCAACCATAAAAAAATATTACGTTTTAATATTATTTATAAAAAAATATTTCAAACAAAACTAATCTTATTTCAATAAAATTACACAATTCATATTTATTTCACAAAATTTTAATTATTGCATTTTTGCTGTTAGTTACTTCATTTAAAATATTGTTAATCATAATTGTGACATTAAAATCTAGCATAAATCATTTTCATTGTTATATAAGTTTCATAAAGTAGTTAATTTTTTTCTTGTACACTTTCATAACTTCAGTATTATTCAGTAGCTAAGACTTTCTGTTCTACAAATAATTATAACCAAATTAGTACGATTATTTTTTGTGTGTTTATTTTATATTTATTTGTGTGGAATTAAATGCTTTATTATTTCAAAAAAATGTAGTAAAAATCGTTCTGTAGTCCAATTTAAAAAAAAATGCGTGTTTTATGACTTTATAACCGTGTTACGTGGTGACTGATGTTACATCACTTTTTAATTGACGTAATTTTTGATGTTATGACCGAATTATCGATGTTCCTATAAATATTTTTGACTGAAATTATTTGTGTTCCAAATGAAAGTATAAAATTTTACATAGACGCAACTTTTTTACATAGAAATCGACAAAAAATTGTCTTATTATATTGGAAAATATTACCAATCTGAGTTCGTTGATTAACTTTCCCAAGAAGTGAAACGTCGCTTGCGCTAATTAAAGAAAATATATATAATTAAATCTTCATTTAACAATATTAATAAGATTTGTGAAAAAATATGAATAATTAAAAAAATATTGTTTAATATACTTATAAAACTTGCGTAGGAAAGTAGAAGTAAACACATCACATGAAGGTTATTTTTCAAGCAGCATTTTTTCGATCAATCATTTATACTAGTTGTTGACTGCAGCTTTAAACTAGAAAATTCCATATGCTTTCGTCTATGTGCAGTATACGGGAATTTACCTATTCAGCAAGAAGCCGACAGCTGCCGAGGATTGCAGAAGTCATTCCATACAAAGCAGACTGAATCTTTTAAGGACACAACTGTCTTTTTTTGTAAACATATAGTTTTACAACAAATAAGTTTCTACAGTAATTCTTAAATTCTAACAACACATTTTTAAATAATTATATAACGTTTATACCACAAAATAGTTAAAAAAACTGAAATTCTTTATTATAGCTGTTAAACAAAATTTCTTGATATAGAATGTAGATCTACATTACAGATACAGTAAAACGCCGATTATCCTAGTGTCAATTTATCGTGGTTCGGATTAACCGTGTTTGCGGCCGTCTTAGCAAATCTAGTAAATAATTTTACAAATAAAACAATTACCTTTTAAAATGATTAAAAATGTCTTTTTACCCGTGCTTTAATGTTCCCAAATTATCAAGGATAATCCGTTTTACTGTATTTATTTATTATGAAGTTTAATTGGAGGATAAGTTTGATAGTAACGAAAGAAGATTTTGTTTTATATAATCTAAATATATTATTTAGAACAGGGCTCGGCAACCTGAGGCTCTTTTAATGAGAAATTGCGGCTCATATTCCGTTTAGTAATATTAAAAACTACACACCGTTAAATCAAAAGTCAAGTAAAATTTTTGATGTTTATAAGAAATTTTTAAAGTAATACGACAAAATTGAAATAACCACTAATTTTGTAAATACAACAACAGTTAAAGTGGTGATTAACATAATTCAAGTACTTACATTTCTATGCAAAATTACTAAGATATAAATTATTGTCCAAAGTATATTAAACTAACATTTCGAACTCTACAATTAGTATATTTTTATACTATAGAATAATGAAAAATAATCCGAAACGATCGTAATTTGTAAATCGTGACTTATGACATATGCGCTCATTTAATTTTGCAAATCATATTTTTTTTTTGTTGTTGTCCATATTTATTTTTTGCATGCGAGAACATCATCCGGTAATTTATTTCGCGGGAAAAAATTCGCGACTATTGTCGATATGTATGGAGGGTTGAAAAAACGAGAGGGTGAGAGTATCAAAAAAAAAAATTGACGGACTGCAAATCAAATTGGGGGGTTGCGCGGGAGACAACAATTAACTTCCGAATTCGATTTCCACTCAATTAATAATAAATTCAATGCATTCGTCAAAATCCGACTAAAAATTAAAACGCGTCAACCCCGAAAAAAAAAAGAGACAACATACCAACACGTATTTGTCGCGCGTCCGCATAAATACAGTCAACAAGTATTATATGCAAACCCTCTATCCTTCTGTCCTACATTTATTTATTTATTTTTTTCTTGAAATATGCGCGTTATTATGGTCGTTATACCCGCACCCTTGTTTCGATAAGGATTTTAAAGCTCGCCAGAGATTAAGACTTTTTTCCCGAGCATTGCGTTATTACGTTTTTTTTTTGCTTATATTCTTCACTCAGAACGCGCCCTCGAGTGGGGGCAATAATTACACAAAGTTATCATTTTCGCTTCTTTGTAGGGGCGTCTTGGGTATTCATTAGCCCTTAACCGCCGTCGATTATCAGGCCGTCTTTTCATTACAACCCCCTAACACAAAAAAAGGACGAGCAGAGGTGGAGAATGCAAAAAAAATAGAGAATGGAGGTGGAGAGAATTTCTCTCTCTCTCTCTCACTTTTATGTATTTATTTATTTACTTTTTTTTTGAGGGTGAAAATTGTTTGAAGGGGTGCCATTGCAGCGTGAGATCCGTCGGCACAATCAATTATGGAGCCTCGCGGAGCATAACTGACGAGAGCTAATGTTTGCACATTTTTAATTGAAACGCAGAAATGGGAACGGCGACTTCGCAAAACGAATGTCGCGGTTTGTTAGCTATGCATTTTTGTGACAAATGATGAAAACCCTGGCACAATGTTTTGCCAACTTACCACCGTTACCCGACGGGTTCTGTATAATTTCGAAAAGCACCCCTCATCGCCGACGCCTCCAACTACCCAACCAACCACCCCTTTTCGCGTTTCTATTACGTTTGTCAATACGGTGAAATTTTTGCTTTCATTACACAACTCACACCTGAACGCATCCTTCGCATAGTTACAAATTTAATTACGTTTTGTCTCTTCTTTTATTTTATTCTGAGTATTTTTTGTCCTATACAGTTTTTATGTTATTATTTGATCATTATTATCATAAGAGTGGATAAACTAGTTTATTTGAACATTTTTTTCTTAATTTTGAAATTTTCAATTGTTGGTAATGAAATACCCAAGTAATTAGTTCTAATTTAGACTTCAAGATTCTATTGATTTCTTTCATAATTTTAATAATTCAAAATCTTTATTTTGATAGTAA